CCAAAAAAAAAAAAAAAAAAAAAAAAAAAAAGCCTAGGACAAAAACAAAAAACAAAGAAAATGAATTTTCAATTACCATAATACTTATGAAATGTTACAGCTCATGAAAACAGTCTAGTAACACTGAATCTCTTACTAGTGACTTAGGACATTACAACTGTATCTCTCATGAATAGCTGGAGGGCTAATTTGTGTCCACCCTACCGTCAATTCCTATTTTTGGTGCTTTAAAAGACTTCATCACAGCATTTAAAATGAAGAGGGGTGTTCAGTGCTTGTCCAGTCTGTGTGAGGCCTTGGGTTTGATCCCCATCTCTCTCTCACACACACACACACACACACACACACAGTGAATAAGTAAAATAACAAACTGTGTGGGAAAGACTCATCTCTTCCTTACGCATTCCAGAAAACATTTAGTATATACGTAAATTACCCCAAAAATCAAGTCATCAATTTAGTGCTAAAGGAATTCATTATAAAATATGTTCACACACACGTCCTTGGTGTGGCGCTGCTCGGGAGCAAAACTTCTACTGTTAGTGGGACAGTTAACGGGGCGCAGTTTTACCGCCCATCAGATGCCGGGAGGAAGGCATTGGGAAGCAGTACCGGTACTGGCACTGCGTGCTCCGGTGCGCCTGGCCTCAGGGTTTAGGGCTGCGCCAGCCACTCTGGGTTCTCTCGGACAGGCTGCACTACCATCCCAGCTCAGACACTCAGCAACTGTGAGAAGACAGCAAGCACCCTCTTCCTTCCTTGATGGTCGATGCTCTGGACTGTGTAACACCCTAAAGAGTAAGTCAGTGACTCAAGGCGAGGGATATTATTACGGTATCTGCATCAAACCCTGGCCTCATGGGTTTAAACTGCTGCTGTAAATCACTGACTAAAGCAGCCTGTGGTTCACACCACAGGAGCAAATGCATCTAACAAAAGCTGAGGGTGATCTCATCTTTTCTAGCTTTAAAGGAGGAACAGGCCACGACACTATTATTCATCCATACTATGTGGACTTTCCTTGCTCAACACAAAGGCACGGCAGGAAGTAAACTCAAATTGGGTGCTTTTGGTAATCTGGGTTGTGGTGATCTGATCTGAGGGCAGAGAAATTCAGGTCTGCGTGTTCCGTGGGATGGGAGGGAAATCATCTAGAAAGACTCAGCCCTCAGAAAGTAGCTTCTTGCTGACTAAACCCAGGGGTTTTCTCCTGGATCCTTGATTCTGTAGGACCCTAGGCCTGGAAGGTCATTCAGTCAAGCTGTGGTGAGTCTGGGATCGGAGTCCAAGTAGTGTCATGAACTATTTGTGTGTGTGTGTGTGTGTGTGTGTCCAGCCTTTTACATTTTTTTCTCTTTATTTTTGGTACTGGGGATCAAACTCAGGACCTTGTGTTTGCAAGGCAGGTTCAGTGCCACCGAACTAAATCCCTGGCCCTTACATGTTTTTTCTTTTGAGACAGAATGTTGTTAAGTTGTTAAGATGTCTAACTGGGGGTCCAACTCCAAATCCTCCCGCCTCAGCCTCCCAGAGTGTTGGATTGCAGGTATGTGCCACCATGCATAGCTGAGAGATGAACCTTTAAAAGGTATTTTTTTGGGGGGTGTCTGTTGAAAACTTTTCTCCTTTTGTATGTTTTCCTTTAAAATAAAATTAGCTTGGTCTACATCTACATTATACGTGTCACTACACATCTGTCCAAACCCAGGGGATGAGCAACACTGTGACTGGGTGATCCTGATGCAGCTCTGCAGGGGTGTGTGGCACACACGGAGATGCACATGGCTGGATACTGCTGCGAACAGAAAGCTGCCCTGACAAAGTCATGAGCACGGTGGCACGGTTCTCTGGGAAGCTGAGGCAAGAGCATCCTGAGTTTGAGCTGAGCTTCCATCACCGAGGGGAGGGAGACATAATAAGTACATTTGACAAAGATGTCAGTTGAAGGAAAAATGGTCCACAAAAACCATCAGTCTACTCTGTACACTAGAAAACAATTTTCCCTCCTCTTTGTACCCTGAAAGACTGGTCAGGTAACAGGGTGAGTCTTAGAGGCTCGGTGTGACACCAAGGTGAGCTCCTGGCCCCCTCCCGGTTGGTGTGAATGCGGAAAGCTTGGTCAGTTAAACCGGGTTCTGTCAGACTGCAGTCTGGACAAGGCGGAAGCCAACACAGGAACACAAGTCCTGTGTTAGTCACAGAGATGCGGTCCGTGACCCTGGCCACCCTGTCTGCCAGGCCCAGTGGGTGGCGGGGCCCTTGGCGGGAGCCCAGCACCAGTGAGAAGAGCTGTGACCCGTCTCCCTGCCTGGGGTCCCTCCCTGTGCTGTGCCATCAGGGCCACGCGGCATGGTCTACAGCCTGGAGAAAGACAGCGCTTCTTCAAGTGCTCAGTGGACAGCCAGGGGCAATTAAGAGTTGCAGAGAAGCTGCCAGGACACAGCTCACAAATCCACCTTGGTCAGGTGGTCACTACCCTGGGGAGACCATGGAAGTCGGGGACCTGAAAGGAGGAGGAGAGGCGTGGCCTAGGCACCGCCAAGCCGTTTTCTCTTGGAGACGCATCACCTCTGCTCTGAAGCCTTCTTGGCCGGCAGAAGGGAAGCCCCTCTCTGGGAACTGTACCCTGGTATGTGAGCCTAGGGACACAAACAAGGTGTGTTTAAACGTTCCGGGACGGTGTGCCCTGGAGTCAGGCTCAGCCATCCCTGAGCCGCTATCTGGGCCTCAGTTTCCCTATGTCTAAAGAATTAGAGGGTGGACATCACCACCGAGGCCCTGTCCAGCCCCGAGGGATGCTATATTATGTCTAAGGTCTTCCATTTAGGAAACTGGGGTGGGGACAGGCTGACTTGTACACGGTACCACGTGGACCCCAAGGAATCTGCTCTTGCAGAAAACTTGCGAAACATCCTCTTGTTCCCTACCTCAGGCCCTCAAGCTCAGCCGGGAGTTAAAAGCAGGAGGGACACATTCCCGCAGTCCTCATCTGACACAAAGAAATGGGTTCATGAGGCACTTTTCAGCAGTCTATCGATGGCTGCAAACACAGTCCCTTTTTAATTTCTCCCGGCAAAATAAATAATAAGCCATCTGATGCTGTTTTTGCCCCCTTTGAGCAGTGTAAACACAAAGAAACGGCAGACGAGGACCGGAATCTAAGCGGAAAGCACCCGGGAACCTCAAGAGAACAGAACGGTCAGCTCACCCACTTCGGTGCCCCTTCCCAGCGTGAAGGTGAGCCCGCAGCCCTGGAGCCCGTCTTCCGCATCGGTCTCCAAGACAACGTAGGCTGCCGAGTAGTCAGGGTCCGTGTGCTGCAGGAGAGGAGTCCCCACCCAAAATGCAGATATGAGAGACCCCAAGATAAACACCAGAGAGACGCAAGAACAGAAAACGCAACGAACAAGGGATACGCAAGGACTCCCGTCTCACGAGCAGCCGAAATACACAAAGGAAACGTGTAGCTCCGAATGGACCAAAGTCCTCCTGCAGGAGTCCAGTGAGTCCACCAAGTGCAAGGTGCACATATATCGTGTGCGAACGTGTGCTGAGGACGATCCCAGGGCCTCAGACATGCTAAGCGCACACTCTGCCACGGAGCCCTACCCCAGCCCCAGATGTTGACATGTTTATTCATCTGGTGTTTTTTGAGACAGGGCCTTGCTATGCAGTTCAGTTCAGGCTGGACTTGAACGCACAGAGATCTTCCTGCCTCAACTTCCCAAATGCTGGGACGACAGGCGTGTGCCACCCTGCCTGGCAATGCAGACATTTTTAATGCTAGTGTGTAACTGGTGTGCAGCTCAATTTTAAAGCCAGGAGTTCTCAACGACAGCTCTCCAGAGTTGCGTTCACAAGCGGCTTCAAATTGAACACGCCAAGGCTTCAGGAAGCTCTTCAATAACATTGAATCGATCTTCACTGCAGCAGTTTGTGCTCAGAGACCACAGGGGAAACGAAGACAGAAAGCCCCAAGACAAGTTAATCCTTGTTCTCTAAATTATTTTAGTTTATTATCAAACAGCATTTTTTTTTTTTTAAACAGTACTGGGATTGAACTCAGAGCTTCACGCAGGCTAGGTTAGTGCTCTGCCACTGAGCTATATCCCTAGTCTTTTATTTTATTTATTTTTCTTTTTTTTTTTTGTGGTACTAGGGATCGAACTCAGGACCTCAGGACCCTGCCCTTGCGAAGCAGGTGCGGCGCCCTGGAGCTCAGTCCCGGGCCCTCCCTAGTCTTTTTAAATTTAGAGACAGGGTCTGGCTATGTTGCCCAGGTTGACTTGGCTTCAAACCTGTGGTCCTCCTGCCTCAGCCTCCTGAGCTGGGACTGCGGGTATGTACGACTACGCCTGGTCAAACAGAATTTCGGGAAGTATTTATTGTTTGACTGTTAGGAAACTCAGCGATATGGGGGAAACTTCTCACACAGTGGAGAGACAAAGTCAAAACTCAAAGCCAGGTGAGGGCAAACTAAGGGAGCACAAGGTCATACACTGACTCATGGTGAGTTACAAATACACAGAAGTTTAAGGGGGAGAAAGAGCAAAGAGGACTAGAAATTGAGGGAACTGTCTTTGGGGGCAAAGACCATTTAGATGGGCAAAGGGGCTGGGGAACACACCTAAGAAGGGGAGCCAAGCGAATGAAGACAAGGGCAACAGGCAGGTGACAGGAGCCCAGAGAGCCAGGCAGGAGGCCTGAGCACGTTAAGGAACGGGGGCGGCGGCTATGAAAGTGTTTGGCATAGGCTATGAGAATTTATGACTGTCACTGTTATTAGTGATATATATATGGTCTGTATTGTAGTATAATATATAGCATATATAGTGTAACACTATATACAGTACATATACTCTATTATATACTACATAAAGGGTACATATACATATAGTATATACATAGTAGACACAGTGTACAGTATATATAGTATATCATATACACACATATATGTACTTTTTGGGGGGATAGAACAAAGGACTGAACTCAGGACCTTCACTCTAAACTAACCCCTCAGGCTTTACTTTCATTTTATTTTATTTTAAGACCATGTCTTGTGAAGTCACTATACTCCCCAGATTGCGCTCCAAATTTTGACCTTCCTGCTTTGGCCAGTTATATAATACTTAAAGAGCCAGGCACATTATTCACATTACACCAGGCGTGGGGGTGCATGCCTGTAATCCCAGCACTCAGGAGGCTGAGGCAGGAAGACTGCCGTGAGTTTGAGATCAGTCTGGGCTACATAGTGAGTTCAAGGCCGGTCTGAACTACATAGCGAGATCTTGTCTCGAAATAACAAAACAAAAATTACACAAAAAACTCCCCAAAGAGTTTCACATTATTTAACTTAATCTTCACAACTCTATTATCATAAGTAGTGTTGTGATCCCTGTCTTAAAGGTGAAGAAAGTGAGTTTTCAAGAGGTTAGTACCTTCCCCAAGGTCCTAGCATGAGTAAGTAAAGGAGGCGAATGCCAATCCTTGTATTTGGCTGGGGGCCGGGGCGGGGAAGCAGAGGGAGCCCAAGTTTGGTGTTGCAGCCCAGCGATGGGAGTGTGGCGTGCTGTGTCTCTGAGCACCGGCTGCACATGAGACACAGCTATGCCTGGCTTGAGGAAGTCACACTTGAGAAGACACAGTTACCAACACTCAGGGTGCCGGCAGCACTAAGTTCCTGGGGGAGACAGAAACAATGACAGGTAGCAGCACAGTCTGGGGGCTGCCCTCGAAGTTGGAACACGCTTGGTGATGAGACAGAAAGGATCTGGGAGGGAAGACTCTCAGGCTAGGCTGGTTGGTTCTCACCAAGACTAATCCTGAGGCCTGGTCCTGTGAGATGATACTGAGAAACGTTTGGGTTTGTAAGAGCTAATTAGGTCAAACGGGCATGACCCTCCTGAGCGGACTCATGTCTCTCTGGAGGACTAGGTTAGTTCTCCTGGGACGAGATCAGTTCTTGTGAGAATGAGCTGTCAGCGAGTCAGCCAGGCACCTCCCCTGGGTCTTTCCCACAGGTCCTCCCTGCATTGGGTCTGTTTCCATCATACAATGCAGCACCAAGCCCTCACCAGAAGCTGAGTAGAGGCCAGGGTCAATCTCCAGAACTGAGAGCTAAATAAACCTTTTTTCTCTATAAATTAGCCGGCCTCAGGTATCTTCTAACAGCAACACAAATCAGACTAAGGCAGGAAGAGTGGCAGTGAAGGCAGTGGAGACGGCTGAGGGAAAGGCTGATGTGTGTCCAGGGTCCATGCCCACCCGTTTGGCATGGTCGCTTTGAATTAAATGCCCATCTACAGTTTTGGGGTTATAAGCAGAAGCAGCAATGGAAAGATGAACCTTCCATTGAGACGTTAGGAGAGGACCAAAAGGACAAGAGGAGTTACTGATGACGGAAGATTCTGAGCCCTGATGATTGGCAGAGTGATCCCAGTGGGTCAGGAGGGATGGGGTGGGGCACAGAAAGAGTTGAGTTCTGATTTACAGACTGTTTAGCATGAAGGTGGAAAAAAATGCATCGGAAAATGTCCAGCTCCAAGGTGGGACCTGGGAGACTTCAGCCTAGGAACACGTCCCGAGAGGGACTTAATGGGAGCGTGTGGGAGATGTGAGTGCAGGAGAGAGGGGAGAAGCAACCGTAAGCGCAGGCAGAAGGGGCAGTCAGAAGGCAGAGGCCCACAGGGACACAGACGTCGGAGGAAGAATGGCAGCAGACAACAAGGACAGAGCAGAGACAACAGAGCAATTCCAGGAACGGAGGGAAGCAGCAGTTGATTCCACACGAAGGCAGGAGCAGATGTGAGGAACAGGTACCAGGCGTGGAGCAGGAATTCTGAGCTTGATTATGAGGGGCACTGCTATAGTCATTGTTAGCAAGGGAGCAGATTTAATACAGGACACATAATCTATAGGATCATTTTGTAATATTCACCCAAAAAGTCAAATATAGAGGCGTATAAGAGATAAAGAGTCCAGCTGAGTGCTTGGATCCCACAGCAATGACCACACAAGTCCAGCTGGATGCCTAGAGCCCAAGGCAATGTCCTCTACTAGTCCAGCCAGAGTTGAGGATCCGCACAGAGAAGGCCCAAAGGCCAGGGGTGGAAGCCAGAAAGCCGGCACCAGCAGGGCGAAGGGTCTGTGCCACCAGGCTGAGGGGGCTGCACTGGAGCCAGGAAGCGATGGTCGAGGTGAACGTCAGCGCTCCCCCGACGAGACAGCAGCCATTTGCAGTGACAGGATAGGCCCGAGAGCCTCCTCCCATGAGAACAGCCAGGCTTGCATCAGGAAAACCAGCCGTGCAAGCTTCTCCAAGAAGATCAACGGCAAACCATCTTCCCCCGCAGTTCTCTTTTTATGCTACGGGCAGTCTTCAGGTGGGTCTTCCACGCCCAGAACCACGCTGACTCGGTGCAGCTGCACATTCGGTTCACCCACCACAGGCAGAAACCGAAGGGAGCCAGCGACGTACTAGGGTTAAGCATGGGCTCCCCCAAAGTGCGAAGCCCGGCCCTTGCAGGATCCAGAAATAATAGGAAAGGGAGACTGAAGACGGAGAGGCTGGAGGACAAGGGAACAGAAGGGAGCCTTGGGAACGGAGAGAGGGCGGGGCGCGGACACAGGGCAGGTCTGCACCAGGTAAGAACAAGGGATGCAGCAGAGGGCTGGTTCGGAGATGTGCAGAGAACAGGCTGGGGGAACTCTGGTTCTGTCTTCTCAGTGATACAGTGTGCAACGACTTCTATCTGCTGAAGGCACAGAACTGGGGCCAAGGAGAGAACCGGCTCCCAGACTACGAGCAGAGAGAAAACATACCGCTGGGAGGCGGCTGACGCGAACTGTGGCTCTCTCTGGGGCTTGGCAGGTGTGGGAAGCGAGTGTCTGAGCCACTCTGTCACCGCTGAGACACAACACCTGACACAACCGTGAAGAGGAGAGGTTTATTTCGGCTCTGTGTAGAGGGTTCAGTCGGCAGTCGGTTGCCTGCACGGTAGGGTGGCATGGCAGGGGGGCCTGGCGGGGAAGAGCTGCTCAGGGCATGGTGGAGAGGAAGCACAAGACGGAGGGAGGACGGAGGGGACAGACCCTTCTAGGCCACGTCCCGTGACCACCTCCTCGACTAGGCTTCACCCGGCAGCATCCCATTCAGCCATCAGCTCCCAGTGGAAGGATGGGGATCACATCCCCATGACCCATCCGGTCACCCCAAAAGCCTCACCTATGAGTGCGTGAGGCTCGGGAGGGTATCTAGATAGAAACCACGACAGCAAGCAACTAGCAAAGTTCTCTAGGCTAAGTGTTCTCACAAGATCCCCAAGCAATTACAACAGGACCCTAAGCTTGAATGGGTCGAGGGTCAATTCTAGGGCTTCTCCATGGGGAAAAACAACACAACAAAAACAAATCCTACCCTCATCAGGAAGGCGCTGCTGCTCTGTGCTGAAAACTGAACTGCTGAGCCCAGCATGTGCTGAGGGTGAGGGCAGCCAACCCCACAGGAACTGCAAAGCAGCACATTCTGCCCTGGAGAATTAGCACCCGACTCGCCCAATGCTCGATGCAGAAACAACTTCTATTGCCTAAACCCTCCCGCAATAAAACAGGTTATCTTAACACCTCATGAATTCAGTCCTGTCTGGGCCAGAGTCTCTTCTGCTCCAGTTTCCTTATGTGTAAACAGTAACACATTAAATTCTTACCACCGGCTTCTCTGCCTTTGGCATGCCTTTGTACTGGCGAAGTGGATACAACTGTATCTGCTTTATGAAAGATCAACTTCTGTATCCATTTTACATGTGAGAAAGCAGCCCGTGGTTCACCCACAGCTGCTACGCCTCAGAGGGGTAAAGGCAGTTGCACCCCCGCGTTTGGATTTTTAAAAACACTTGTTCGGGCTGTGTCTGGTGGTGTACACCTGTACCCCAGCACCCTGGAGGTTGAGGCAGGAGGATTGCCTTGAGTTTGACACCAGCAAGAATTGCAAAGCAAGACCTCGTTCTCAAAACCAAACCAAACCAAACCCACTTATTTTAGAATAAAAAGGAGACAAAGAAATTTTATAACTAAAAAATGTATTTTTAAGAAGACTGCAGGGAGAAAGCAAAGAAGGAGCAAGAAAAAAAGTAAAAATAGAAGAAAAAAATGGTAACAAAGCCTTTGTATACAGGGAGGGGAGGGGGCTTAAAATAAAATAACATTAAAAAAAAAAAGACTGCAACTTTTGGGCCTCAACTGAAGTTACCCCAGATAATCCATGTCAGCACTCCTTAGCTTAAATTTAAGCTCCTTTCCTTCCATACCTTAACGTTATACCCAAAATTCCTTAAGTTTTGTTTTTTTCGGTTGTTTTTTTGAGATAGGGTCTTGCTATGTAGCCCAAGTTGGCCTTGAACTTGCAGTGATGCTCCTGCCCCTGCTCTCGAGTGCTGGTGTATGCCATCACACTTGTTTTTTGTTGTTGCTTTTTTTGTTTTTGTTTTTTTTCTTTTTAAGACAGGGTTTTGCTATGTAGTCCAGGCTGGCCTTGAACATGAGGCAATCCTCCTGCCTCAGCCTTCCCGGTGCTGGGATCACAGGTGTGCACCACCACAGCTGGCTCCCAAAAGTCCTTGGAAATACTGTAAATCCACATATTGGCTTGAGAAAAACAAAAGAAAACAAACCTGTAGAATGGGCTCCTATCCTTCAGGGGCATGGGCCACCTTTCTGCAAGGTTTGCAATTCCCCCAAGGGAAGGGTAAACTATTCCCTGTTCCAGGACGTTAAGTGCCTTTCCAAGACCCCATACTCTATTTCTTTGGATGTGAACCTCTGATTTCTAATAAAAACCTTCCCGTGCCCCTTATGACTAGTCCTGAAAACTCTTTTCGATAATGGGACACAACAAACCTGCAAACTTATTCTACAAGAAGGTGGGTTAGGTTTCTTATTTCAGCTTTGGGGACCTCCTCAGGTCTGGTGACATTTGGAGGTCTACAAAGGATTATCAACTGAAAACAATTTTTTTTTGTACTGAGGATTTAACTCAGGGCCCCCCTGCACTGAGCTACACCCTCAGTCCTTTTCATTTTTATATTTAAGACAGTTGAAGTCACTAAATCGTCCAGGCTGGGCTTGAACTTGAGAATCTCCTACCTCAGCTTGCCAGAGTTTTGGGATTACAAGGGCCATCACACCTCCACAGCAACATGTATAGACTCATAGGGATTTAAAAAGTGAGAAGCTAATCTCAGAATGAAGGACATTCTTTTGCATGTAATAATAGTACATTTTGAGATGCCTGTTTTTTAATAAACCGGTTCAGGCTGACAAAGAGAATGGAATGTAACGAGTTCACCATCTACTCAGCTCAGGAAGCGAAAACATCACCCAGGGAATGAGAGCTACCGTCCTGATGATTGCCCTTCCTCCCCACAGGCCTGATGTGTCCGCTCCCGGATATTTCCTGGGAGTGCAGCTGTGGCCGTCTGGCGCCAGTGGTCAGCCCGGGAAGGCCCTGCAAGGGACTCCTGGGTCTCGGAACCAGCTGAACGTCAGAGAGTTGGCCAGGGAGCAGGAAAAAGTCCCTCTAATATTCTCGGCAAGTGAAAGAGGCCTCCAGCATCCAGTGGGAGTCAAAATCCGTGCCGTCCTTTATTACAGCAGCCCTTAGCCTGAAATGCACACACCGCTGGGCCCTGGCAAGTCCTTTCTAGGCGTGTTCGTGGGCACAGGGATCTCCCCCGAGCACAGTCACTAGGCGCTCGCCTTCTCAGCCCGACTGTGACACCATCCCTTCCCAGCTGGGCCCGAAGGCCCACAGAGGCTCCAGTCTTCCCAGGTCACAAGCAGGCAGCCGCAGAGGTAGAATGAGCCCCAAGGTCCCTGCGCCGGGTTTCCGGGTCTCCGTGGCCAGGAGCTCGGGGTTATAAGCCGGGCCCTTGGGGGAACCCGACAGAACCCTTCGCTGGTGCCGCAGTTTATGTATGCACTTTGACCCTTTCTAGGACACGCGCACTGTGAAGGCAAAGCCAAGGCATTCTAAACGACGGCAAAGGGGACGGTTTCTGGGGTTTCTGGCTGCGTACAGCCCTCGAGACAGGAAGCTCCACTCCCCCCCGCCCCCGTGGTGGCTTCCCCTGGACGGAAGCAGCCAAAGTTGCAAAACTGTCCCTTCCCCGCGGGCCGGCGCGTTGGGGGCGGGCCGGACGTCATCGCA